GCGATAATTAGCTGACAGATGATTGAATGAAAAACCGTGATCGTGGTTTAAGTAATATGCAGCGATTTTAAAGCGGCATAAGGTAAAAGATACGATAACAACACCAATGTTGATTTAAATTGACAAATAATTCGTGTTTTTATGTCGAAGACTTTGGATGATACTGAGTTAGAGACTTAGCTACTTTAACATTACTTACATCTATTTTCTAGGAAGAGTTACAAATATCTCTCCAAGTTGGTTTTGGTTTTTGCTCATTTGGAAGCAAAACAATTTATGTAAAATATTTTATTCTGGTTGTTTTTCGGTCATTTGGAAGCAAGGCAATTTATGTAAAATATTTCATCCTGGTTGTTTTTGCTCATTTGGAAGCAAGGAAATGTCATGTAAAACATTTTAATATGCTTGTTAATTCTCATGTGTCGAGATAACTAAAAACTACTCCTTAACTTTTTATTTGTTATTGTGTCCAAGTTTTGTTGGTTGTTATTCTTGTTATTGCGTATTAAAATATTGCTTTAACCAAAACCCCATTTTTGTAATTTGTTGGGGTAATCAACAACTGCATAAACTTCTTGGTGTGTTTACTTATGTCATGTTAGTTCCGAAATGAGGGGGTGGGGGTGGATGGCCGAATGGTTAGCACGTGTGTTGTGTATCACAAGGTCTGTCAATGAGTCAACTGGTGTGGGCTGGATTCCCCGGTTGTACGTGACAAGGAGTAGGGTCGCCTGTCCAACCTCGTGGGTTTTCTCCGGGTCCTCCGGTTTCCTCCCACTGCTAAAGACCCCTACGCGCAAGCGGATTATTGAAATAAAATTAAACCATATGTTGTGTATCATTGCATCATAAGGTCTGTCATTGAGTCAACTGGTGTGGGTTCGATTCCCCGGTTGTACGTGACAAGGAGTAGGGTCGCCTGTCAAACCTCGTGGGTTTTCTCTTGCATAATGTATGTTTAATCATTTGGCATTGTTATGTACCATATCTATTGGTTGACCTACTTATGTGCTATTTACAATATTTTATTAAATAATATTATTAAAAGGTATTATTTTAATATACAATTTACTATTCCATTTTTTATAGGATTTATTTTTAAGTATTTTGTGAGTTTAGACGTAAATTGTTGTTTTGACCTATATAATTACCTCCCTTTCTTTTACCATACGGACACAGATCACCAAATATTCCTACGAAACAAGGGCCAAAGCTATTTTTAGTCTTCCTCTCCCTTTTCCTTTTTCCCCCTTTTGCATGGCGATTTTTGTTGACTTTTTGGTGTAGAATTGAGGAAAAGGGTTTGAAAATACATTTTCTGCCAGGTTTTGGTGAATATTCATAATTTTGATGCGGAAGGATACAAGAGTTGAGAGGTTGGTTACGTTGAAATGTAGGGCCTGAAATTGCATGTTTACTTGTCTCTACTTCCAGCTTGTGTATCTCAAGTTTTTCATGAAGAACCTCATACGTGCTTTTGGGCAAGTGGTTGCCACATGTTGCTCCATCTGTGGTAGAAAGCGTTCTACCCAACGAAAATTTGGGAAAAAGTTAGAGCCGGTCTAAGATACGAGAATTAACATTGGAGTCAATGGGGAAATCTTAAGTGATCTGTGTCCATACTTTTCCTGGAATTGATACGGAATGTATCAACTTCGCGCCAGTAGTGATAATTCCTTTGTTCTGTAAAGACGTGTTTCATGTCGTTTTCATTATACCCATTATTTTAGGGTTTATACATATTATGTTATTATTACTCTTATTTTGTATATATTAGAAGAGTTTGTGTATATTTGGAACCTTGTTGGGTAATATTTTGAGACCGAAAAATCGATTTTTCTGTTCTTGTCTGTTCGTTTAACTTACCACACGTTGAGACGTAACAGCATTTAATTAGTCGTGGTCCTGTAAATTGTATGTCGATTACAATTATTATTATATATTTGAGGGGGTAGCTGTATGGCCGAATGGTTAGCATGTGCGCGCTGTATCATAAGGGGTCTGTCATTGAGTCAACTGGTGTGGTTTCGATTCCCCGGTTGTACGTGACAAGAAGTAGGGTCGCCTGTCCAACCTCGTGGGGTTTCTCAGGGTGCTCCGGTTTCCTCCCACTGCAAAAGACCCCTACGCGCAAGCGAATTATTGAAATAAAGTTGAACCGTGTGTTAGTCCCGAAATGACCTAGTTTGTGTCGAGTGGACGTTAAACCCCATTTCTCTCTTCATTCACTTAACATTGTCAAAAGTACAGGTCTTGATCGATGACATTCCAGCTCGCTGTCTAAAAAAACGGTGCTGATCTCAATGAATCTGCTGTATGATGACATGACCTGATCTTGATCCTCCAAGGACCACATTGGAAATAAACATGATTTAATTTAAGCAGGTTTTTATGGGTTATCCTCAAGAGAATGGTCATTCATGACAACATTACTTTTTCTCTCATCTTATTATCACATAACTTTATATTATCACTTCTATTGTCATAAATTTAATAAATAAATAAAACTAATACTGTTAAATAAACTAAATATATGAATGAGAGAGAGAGAGAGAGAGGAATGGGGTTTAACGTCCATTCGTCACAAACTAGGTCATTTCGGGACTAACATATGGTTTAATTTTATTTCAATAATTCGGTTGCGCGTAGGGGTCTTTAGCAGTGGGAGGAAACCGGAGGACCCGGAGAAAACCCACGAGGTTGGACAGGCGACCCTACTCCTTGTCACATACAACCGGGGATTCGAAACCACGCCAGTTGACTCAATGACAGACTTCATGATACAGCGCGCGCGTACTAACCATTCGGCCATCGAACCCCACTCTAAATATATGTTTATGGGTTATCCTCAAGAGGCTGATCTTTCATGACATCATTGCTCTTTCTTTCATCAAAACTTTCACATCGTATATCGTGATCACGCAACGTTATATATCACCTCTATTGTCATGTTTGATAAATAAATAAATAAATAAATAAATAAATTACTCTTTAAAGATACATTATGGGAGATTCGGTAACGAGTTGGCAGTTCTCACTATAATAGTTAAAAACTAGATAATGTAAAGGTAATTTGCTGAAAGTTTCATTCAAATTGATCCACTATGAACCGAGAACTAAGCGACTGAAATTTCCCCCTAGCCTCGGTCATCATTACTAAAGTCAGTACAATAAACAGCATAGTCTCGATTATCCATTTAATCGTTAAATCGAGAAGGAAAGTTAAGCAGTAAATCGGCTCACAATCCACTAAAGATCGCAGGCTAGCGCTACCATCTAGAGTTGATAACGGCCTGGATAGGTTAATTAATGTCTAATTAATAATTTAGATAACATTTCAGGCCTAACGAAAAACCTGCAATAGACAGATTTAGCTCTTGCATAATGCATGTTTAAACCAAACCCCATTTATTTCATTTGTCGGGATAAACAACAAGTTTTCCATGAGTTTTTAATTACTCGCGTCTCTGACTCTTGGCAAAAGTCTGCCGTTAATGTTCGTCGCCATTGTCTTCAAGAATATGGAGATAAGTGGAAAAGACTGCTTCCAGGCTGCGTAATGAGTTACACAGTCGACAAGATTGTAATCGTCATTCGGGATTAATGGCGTAAATCAATTATCACACAATATAAGTGCATTAACAATAATAGGATCGGATCGGATCGGATCTAGCTATGTACGGATTAAGACATTGTCAGCCTTTGGGATACTGTGAGGCTCAGAGGAAATAATTTACCCACCTGACGCCCCTAGTATACATTACAGTGTTTCGTGTTGCTGTGGTATGTTTACATGGAATATTAATTGACTCGTTTGAAAATAGATACTTCTACTTTCATTTATTATTTTCAAATAAAATAACTTTTCTCAGAATCCATGGAGTCCCTCCAGCCAGTGAAGAAACCCGGGCTGCAGCCACTAAACGCATGGCTAAATCCGACTTTGGATCCAGCTGGGTGCGACTTTTTGCATACGATTTTAGCGGACCCGTTTCAAAATAGAGTCAACTGGCCAGGTTTCGATTCCCCGGTTGTACGTGACAAGGAGTAGGGTCGCCTGTCCAACCCCGTGGGTTTTCTCCGGGTCCTCCGGTTCCTCCCGCTGCTAAAGACTCCTATGCGCAAGCGAATTATTGAAATAAAATTGAACCATGTGTTAGTCCCGAAATTATCTAGTTTGTGTCGAGTGGACGTTAATCCCCATTTCTCTCTCTCGTTCCAAAATAGATGATTTAGAGGATCTCTATTTCCATTCAGTATTCACAAGTATACAAATAAAATAACTTTTCGCAGAATCCATGGAGTCCCTCCAGCTGGCGGGGAAACCTGGGCTGCAGCCACTAAAACGCATGCATAAATCCAGCCTTGGTTCTAGCCAGCTACAACAGAGGTGTCACTTTTTGCATAAGATATTAATTGACCCTGTGCAAAATAGATACTTTAGCTTTCACAAATATACAAATAAAGTAACTTTTCGCAAAATCCACGGAGTTCCTCCCGCTTTCAGGGAAATTTGAGCCACTAAAACGCATGCCTAAATCCGACCTTACATCTAGCCAGCTAAAAGAGAGAGGGTGTCACCTTTTGCATACGAAAACGTAAAAATATTGCGCTTTAATATAAGAAAACGGGCTCATTTTCTTCAAACATAAAAAAAGAAATATTAAAAATTGCATTTTATGTGTCAACGTACAGAATAGAAATAGAAAAAAATAACTTCTATAAAGAAAAACGTGTCAAGCAAAAAAAAAACAAAACAAAAACAAAACCACAATCTAATCAGGTTCTTAAGCTAAGAGCTTTTTGTTCTTTCAAAATACCGTATTAAACGCACTAAAACAAGTTAAACGCACTAAAACAAGGTAACTAATCTGCAACATCTGTCACTTGCTACAAAATTTTTTTGTTTTAAATCTTTTCATTATAAATAACCCACAGGTGAATTCAACACGCACAAAAAAGGACATTTCAAACAGAAAAAAAAATGTCTATAAACTTACCTGTTAAAGTCGTCATAATACAGCTTTCGTTTAGTTAAAGTTTCCAAAAACAACAAAACATTAACTTAATTCAAACAAATCCTGTTTTCTTTCTCAAAATTCTTTGTATCAAATTTGTTTGTTTTTGTTTTTTGCAGTGTTGTTGGTTAATTATCCGTCTAATTAGTGCGAAAACGGGGCGATAATTAGCACCGTTTCACAGTCTTCATGTCGACTGATCGCCTAGATAAAACCGTTAATACTCGATACAATCCGTTTAGAAGAAAACATCATGTTTGTCGCACTTCAAATTATATCTCTACCCAGATAATAAATCTGTTTTTACTTTCCAAATTGTTTTCCGGTACCTTAAATTTTTTGATTCAATCTATGCCGAAATGTGAAAAAAAGAGATTTGATTTGTTAGACTGTTGTAGAAGGCTACTGGAAGTCTGTTGCTATAACAGAACGCAAGAATAGTTCATTGTTACACGCGACTTCACCACAGACACAGAACGCGCTGGCTCTGTAGAACCGTTGCATGTAATCGATCGCGGCTACAGAGAAGCGAAGCAGCTAAATCCACCTCCACGATTAAAGGCAGAATTTTACAGTGATTATTATCGTATAAGTCCTACCTCGCTATGTCTTTGTGAACGAGAATAATTTGAAGCTGGTTGAAAGAAGAGAACGAATGCGTGCAATGTCACATGGAATTTAATTCTCATTAGCGCGAGTACGTAGACTGGAGAACATGGCATTAGTTTAGGGTCTCAATGAAAAGAGGTTTATTTGTTGTCATTCATTCATTAATAAAAACACATGATCATAAAAAAACAAACATGATGCTACACCGAAAAAACATACTGTCTTATATGCAGTCATTGTTTTTTAAGGTAAGCGATCGCTCTCGAGCACATTCCGCACACCTGGATGTCGACCGAGGGGAGTTTTTTTCCCTCCCCTTAAAACTGAAAATCGCTCTCCTTTACATAGTCATGGGGGGTTTATTAACATTTATGAAACCCGAAATGACCCCACTACATGCAGTTATTGATGTTAGAACCATTTCCCATGCAGATTACTAATCACTCTCCTTAATATCAGATCACTCTCCTAAATTTCTAAATCACTCTTCTTATCAAAACTGGGAGAGTTTTTTGAGGGGAGCGATTTTTTCAATTTGTTGACAACGACTGCTTGTGCGAAAACTAATTTACATCAGCCTGTGTTTTTTGTGTCAAATTAGCACATACTTGTATTCTTTGTTTGCATTAACAGATAATTGAAATCTTGCGGGGTTTTCTTTCTTAAATCCGTATTTAATATAAGTACTATTATGTTCAACACATTTTTTTTATGTTTTGGGATTAAACTTTATTTTGTTCAACTATTTACTTTGCGTCCTTTTGAAAATGTAAGTGAATAATAATAATAATAATATCGTCATTTATAAAGCGCGTTAATACTGAAAAAAAAACTGTTTCTAAGGAGCTGTTGGTTTTTATATTCACTGATTATTTACAGATTATGTTTTTTGAGATAATATTTTGAGTTGAGATTTAAAATGGTTTCATTAACTGTGGTAGTTCATTCCACAGAAAAGGACCAGCATAAAAAAGGCACATTTTCCAAGTTGCAATTTCATATTTTTAAGTTATATTTTTAAAATTTATTAAAATAAAGTCTTAAAATAGATGTTATCTATAAACAGTTCTACCTTGTTAAAGAATAATCCTATTAATCCTATAATTCACTATTGCCAGTTGAGAAATTGGAAAAAATATCATTTTCATCTTCAAATTCAAACGTTTGAAGATAACTACTCCATGGCGGAGAATAGAAAACAAGGGAGGTAATTGTGTTATTATTTCCGGTGTAAATGAGTTTTAAGTGTGAGAATGACACCTATGATCGTATAATAGTGAGTTGACAACCTATTGAGCAAAAGACATAGAAATAATTATATTTTGACTCTCTTAGAAAATATGAAATTGTAACTATAATAGCTGGAGATTTTAGAAGATGTTTTTTTCTGAGAACGGAGGTTTCTGCTGGTAGTATAGGGTTCTACAAGACTTTTTATATAAGATGGAGATTGACCGTTTAACGCTCTGAAGACGAAGACGAGTAACTTTAACTTATTAATTATTTGCTGAACTGGGAGCCAATGTAAAGATCACAACAACAAGCAAACATTTTTATATACAACTCTTTCTCAACCTGATTAAAATACAGATCTATATTTCGTTTCGTTTCGGTGTTCGATCCCTGCATTGGCCGAGAAAGTTCATCTCGATTTTCCAGCGTGGTTTCCCCTTGTCAGTGATGCCGGACAGAGGGCCTGACAAGGACAGCTGCCTAGTCGTTCGGATGGGACGAAAAACCTAGGACCCGTGTACACTTTGGCGTGCACGTAAAAGATCCCTTGGCAGTTGGAATTCGATATAAGAGTAGGTCGTAGCGCCGCTGCCCGGGCAAAATTTCCCTCATAGCACACTGTATGGCGTATGCCCGTCTTCAATTAGCCCAGGTTAGGTGCAGAAGAGTAGGACGTTAAACCCCATTTCATTTCATGTCATTTATATTTCGTTTCGTTTTTTTATACTTTCGATGGCCTACACTACATGATGATCTGATCCGTTGCAGTGATAGTTCGGACATTAATTAACCGGCGTTTACGTTTCTAGTGGTTTACCCACATTTCCGTGCAAGAACTCGCCGTAAAAAAACCGTAGTTTATAGAAATGAAATGAAATGGGGTTTAACGTCCTACTGTTCTGCTCCGAACTGGGCTAATGACGACGGGCATACGCCATACAGTGTGCTATGAGGGAAATTTTGCCCGGGCAGCGGCACTACGGCCTACTCTTATATCGAATTTCAATTGCGAAGGGATCATTTACGTGCACGTCAATGTGTACATGAGACCTCGGGTTTTCGTCCCATCTGAACGACTAGACACCTGTCCTTGTCAGGCCCTCAATCCGGCATCACTGACCAGGGGACACCACGCTGGAAAATCTGGATGAACTTTCTCGGCCAATGCAGGGATCGAACACCCGACCTCCAGGCTAGCGAACAAGCGTCTTACCCACTTAGCCACGTGATCCCCACAGTGGTTGAAAAGCACTGGCTCAGTCGGAACAGAACAGTATGACGTTAAATCCCATTTCAGTTTATTTCATTTCATTTCAAGTGGAGACTAAAGATCTTAGATATTGCGTATCAGCTCCTGATATCAAAGTTCAAACCACTGCCCTTTCTGTTCTTCATAAAAACTATGGAAGGCCAAACAGCTCTTTATTCAGTGTTCTTAATTCTTAGTTCTTAATTCATAGTCCTTAAATCTTATTTCCTCATTCGTTGTCGTATTTCAACATTTGTACACTGAAATTAACATTTGTATCTTAAAATATTTATTTGTTTTACAAATTAGACATTTGTCATATCAGATTTGTAAAATGTATTTTTGTTTAATATAATTTTATTTTAATATAAAGACAAAATTTATTTTAGAAAGACAAAATTTATTTTAGAAAGACAAAATTTATTTTAGTAAATCAAAAAAAATAATCTACATTTCCATTTCATCATAGACATACAACGAAAAACAAATTTCGAACAACAAATTTCTAAATAAAAATCTCCAAATACAAATCTTGCAAATCATTTCTCCAAAAACTTTTCTTAGATAACATTTCTGGAAATGAGATTTATGGACCATGAATTAAGAACTAAGAATTAAGAACACTGAATAAAGAGCTGTTTGGTCTTCCATAAAGAAAACAAAAGGTTAATTTGGTTCTGTCTACAGGAGACCAGGTTATTCATGGCAACATCAAATAATCTGTGGAAATGAGTTCTTTCTTTTACTATTACTAACCTAACTATGTTTTGAAATCTATGGCTATTTTTCGCAAAATTTTTTAGGAAATAAGATTTTGTGAGTCTCTCTAATTTAAGATATAAAACCTGATCACCATGGGTGGGTTTTAGTCATGAAATGGCTATTTGGAGTATATTAACTTAATTCCGGTCACTGAAACCAGTTTAGATAACTGTTTACGACACTAAATATAACTAGTTATTTTTACCCACGTGCTAAATCAAATGGCAGACGTCTTAGGGCGCGAAGCTTAATAATATGGAGCCGTTAGTTTTTTCTTACAGTCGGGATTTTTTAAAATGAGTCCTGTTTTTATATAAATTAGGGAGACTCGGTAATGGATTTTCTCTGGGTCTTCCGGTTTCCTCCCACTGCTAAAGACCTGGTTTGTGTCGTGTGGACATTAAATCGCATCTCTCTCCCTCTCTGCCTGTCACGTGCGCGCTGTATCATAAGGCGTGGTGTCGAAACCCCGGTTGTACATGACAAGAAGTAGGGTCGCCTGTCTAACATCGTGGATTTTCTCCGGGTCCTCCGGTTTCCTCCTACTGCTAAAGACCTCTACGCGCAAGCGAATTATTGAAATAAAATTAAACCATATGTTAGTCCCGAAATGACCTAGTTTGTGTCGAGTGGACGTTAAACCTCATCTCTCTCTCTCTCTCTCTCTCTCTCTCTCTCTCTCTCTTCCAGTCGGTGTAGAAAGGTTCTTCATATCAACGATAATATCATATTCCTGAAGCAATGACCCGAGAAATCCCTCTCTGCCCATTGCTGGATTGGCTTCTGATAATTGTGCTTTTGCGGGAGTGTGTCTATTCTTCCCGTACAATCAAATCTATCCCAAGTACAGCAACATGACAGCCATTCGAAACACTGCGGGGGTATACGAAAATATCAGTCTACAATGTTTGCTTTAGGCAACACAAACCTGATTGTTTGTTTTTCGAGATCACCTATTAAAACTTTGCTTCCCCGGTAGTGAAATGAAATGAAATGGGGTTTAACGTACATCCGTTCGGCTAATGAACACGGGGCTTACCCGTAGTTAAAATTAATTCTAAAACAAAACGTACATGGTCGCTCTTATTAAAATTATTTCGTTAAAAGTAATGAAAAAGCAAACAAAACATCATTCACGAGACCATTTGTCTGACCCCGTGGAACTAAGAGTTATGGCCTTTGGGACGAGTGAACCCTAACCCTAAGCCCTTTGAGACAAGTGCTAATGCATTTGATGTCAAAATAGACGAATGTGGGTTTTTATTTATTTATCAATAACATTAAGAAATACATTGAACTAATATCTATAGCTTACATCTCAAATTACAGAATACATTCAAGATGAAATCCGCAATATCATGTGAGTCACGGTAGGGCGATTATTCCGATACTACCCAATGGCACCTAATATAACCCCAATACTAACCTAAAACTACCAAATAAAAACCCAATACTACCCAACAGTAACCCAATACTGCCCAATAACACTCCCAATACCATCGAGTACTAACCCA